AAAATTCATAATATATGATACTGGAAGAACTGAAAAAAATTCCTACATCTTTTGAAATGGAGGAGATCATCAAAATGTCATCAATACCCCATCCTGACAATGCATGGAATATGCATTCTCAATGGAGGCAAAACCTAGTTTTTGAGGAAAAAGAGAATCTTACTGTTTATGTATAAAGCATAGATATGCATGTAATACATACAGATATATGAAATTTCATGAAGACTAGCAATTGAGAAAAATATGGCTAAAAAGGTTTCTGAGATGGATAATAATAGTAGCAATAGTTTGAGAAACATACAGAGAAGATTATCACAAAATGGTACTGCAAATACACAGCCCCATTATATTTTTGGTTTGAACCAAGCACAAAACAAAAGGAAACCTCTTGAACCAGTGAAGGAACAAAAGAGAAGGATTTAAGAGACCATTCTAGTTTGAGTTTCCAGAAACTGAATTTGAGAGCTAGAAGCAATGCCAAGTCATTTAGTCTAGGTCTCCCATTTCAAAAAGTAGGGAACAGGGCTGGAGATTTAGCTCAATGATTCTGCCACCTGCCTTGCAAGCGCAAGGAGCCGAGTTCAATCCCCAGTACTAAAAACAAACAACAAAAAAAGCAGGGAACCATGGCCCAGAGTGTGAAGTGATGGCTAGGTATCAGAATAAAAATCCAGGTTTCCACCCTCACACTCTGCTCTTTTCAGTATTCTCCTGCACTTTTGTCTGCTGTAACAACTCTAATTCATATATTCACACACAAATATATTCTATAAGGAACCCACTGTGGCAAAGAGACAAATTATTTTCCCAAAGAAAAAAAGATAAAGTACAGGTATTAATGTAAATACATAAAAAGATGCAGACCTAATTGATAGCCCCTATGATAAAAGACAGATGACACAGATCAGGATAGCTGTAGTCTTTCTGACATAGAAAATGGACATTTCTCATAATTATTGCTCACAGGTTTCTTTACTTTGTCTAATAATTAGCTGAGGGAACACAAACACTATATATATATATATAAAATATATATATATATATAATTTCTGTGTCTAGGAAAAGAATGTGCCTTAGGTTCTTATTTCCTAATCTTAACTGCATGGACTTCATAAAGGGAAAGGTCAAAAAGTAATTACAAGAGATGAATTTCTAAGGGGCAGTTAAAAGACTTGTTTGGTTGTTTAAATAAATTGTTTGGTTGTTCAAATAAATGACAGTAGTAAATAATAAAATACAATTACTTTGTTATAAAAGTGGTTTGTGTGGGGACTGAGGGTGTAGCTCAGTGGTAGAGTGCTTATCTTATAGGCATAATGCCCTTCGTTTGATTGCCAGCACTGCAAAATAAGTTTATTACAAAGGACCTAAGTTTTATAGCTTGCTGTAGAAATCCTAGGATATTAACACATTGAAAATAGTTTTCAAGTCAATTTCCTGATGATATTGAACCTTTCAGGGATTGTAACTTGCAGTTAGTTATCTAAAGAAACCTCATAAGTATTTTTAAAATATGAAAGCAATAGATTTATAATCTGTAACTAAGATTTGGTATCAGTTTGGAGGATAAAATGACTGTTTTGGCATTTGTCCTCGACAGAGAAGGTGAAATCATATACCCATTCCACATTTACCTTCACAGAAGCTACGAACCTTGTTGCATAAAGAGAAGTCCCATCACTTCGCATTACGGTACAAATTGAAGAGGGGTCACCATTGCCAGAGAGATCCACTACAGCAGTTCCTTTTCTAGAAATATTAGAAAGTAACTGTAAAGCAACACAATAAATTAAGACTTTTGAAAATAGATAACATCTTTTACATTATCTTTGGCAAACCAGAAGTTATTGCTAATGCACCAATAAGCAGTGATCAATTCAAGCTATGATCACCAAGAATAGAACAAGAACTATTAAGAAGTATGACTGAGTTATATTAAAAAGTGGGTATTATCCTCCCCTTTAAAAATCTGTAGGATTGGATAAGGTACTCACACAAAATCTTTTATGTACCTAATTGAAAAATGAGATCTTAAGCTTCAGCTTGTCTATGAAATATCACAAATTTTTTTATTGCAAATTGTTACAGTTTTCAATACTGGGCTAATTTATAATGCCACAAAGAACTGTGCACAAAAAAACCCCATGGAATTTACTAATGTCTTTACTGTCTGACCAAAAACTGGAACTTGCATATGACAAAAATTTCCTTAGGACAGCACTGAGGATGCTATTAACTATATTTCCCATGTCTTCCTTACAAAGATGATGGGAAAAATTTTGATTTGATACCATGAAAGGTGAAACTCCTAAGCAACTGGTTTGTTTGTATATTACAGATGACTAAACTCTTATAATTGGTACCATTTTCCTGTTTGCTTAGCTGACAGGAAGCTAAAAACAAAATTAAAAAGGAATTGGGCAAGAAAAAGAAATACAAGAAATCGAAATTTGAAAGGAAGAAGTTAAATTATATTTGTTTGCAAATAAACTATACTTGTTTGCTGGCAATAAGATCTTATATATGGAAAACCCTAGAGACTCCACCAAAAAACAGAATAAACAAAACTAGTAAAGTTGCAGCACACACAATCAAACAAAAATCAGTAGCATATCTATATATCATAATGAAATATTTGAACATGAAATCAAGAAAACAATCCCATTGGTAATAGCATCAAAATATTTAAAATACTTAGGAATTTTAGCAAGGAAATAAAAAATCTGTACACTGAAAAGTGACACATGTAAGAAATGAAGACACAAGTTATTAGAAAGATACTCCTGCATTCATGGACTGGAAGGCTATTATAAAAATGTCCCTACCATCCAAAGTGATCTACAAAATCAATACAATCCCTATCAAAAGTACAATATTTTTCATAGAAATAGAAAAGATAATTCTAAAATTCACATGGAGAGACAATGGGAAAAGGACAAGCTCTTCAATAAATACTATCTGGAAAACTAGACAGCTACATGCAGAAGAATGAAATCCTAGCTTCACCTCATATATAAAAATCTACTCAAAATGGATTAAAGACTTAGACTGAAGACCTGGAATTGTAAAAATATTTAACCATAACATAGAAGCAAAGATTTCTTGGTTATGATCCCAAAAGCACAAGAAGAAAACAAAAATAGACAAGTGAGATCACATCAAACTACAAAGCTCCTGCACGGCAAAGGAAGTAATCACCAAAGTGAAGAGAAAAATCTATAGAGTGGGAGAAAATATATGCAAACGATAATCTCATATGGGGTTAATATCCAGACTATAAGAAATTCAAAATCCCAGTAACAATAACAAGAAAACAAATACCCTGATTTAAAAATGGGCAAAGGATTTATAGACATTTCTTAAAAGAGACACAAAGGGCTAACAAGTGTATTAAAAGGTGCTCAACATCACTAATCATCAGAGGCAAATTAAAATCACAATGATAGCTCTTTATCTGTTAAAATGGCTTTTATCAGGAAAACAAGGGACAACAAATGTTGGCGAGAATGTAGAGGAAAGGAATCCCTGTACCCTACTGTTAGAAATGTAAACTGGTACAGCCATTATATAAAACATGGAAGTTCTTTAAAATTTTTTGAAAAACAGAATTACAAAATGATCTAGTAACCCCACTTCTGGGTATGTATCCAAAGGAAATGAAATCAATGTAAGACATTTGCATTGCCATATTTGCTGCAGGACTATCCATAATATCCAAGATACGGAATCAAGCCAGAGTCCATCAACAGATGATAGATTTTTAAAAATCTGGTCTATATACTATTCAGCCTTATAAAAGTAAATCCTATCAATTGTCACAATATGGATGAACCCTTGGAGAGACAAGCCAGGCACAGAATAACATATACTGCATGATCTTATTTACATATGAAATACAGAAGAAATGAAACCAGAAACAGAGCAGAATGGTGGTTACCAGGGACAGGGAATGGGGTAATATAACTTCCTTTGCGGTGCAGTTAAACAGGAAGAATAAGTTCTGGAGAAATCTGTACAGCATGGCAATTATAATTAATAATGTATAGTGCACATAAAAACTGTTAGAAGAGTAGATTTTAAATGTTCTCATCAAAACAAAGTATGTGATTTTTTACTTAGTTAATTCTCATCACAGCTAAGTATGTTAATTAGCTTGACTTAGATGTGTGTATATATATCTCAAAACATTATAATGCATATCATAAATTAATACATATTTTTCATTTTTCAAAAACATTTTTAGAAGAATTTTATCATATAATACAAGGTAACAGAATCCCAGCAGAAACCCACTAACATCTCTTATTTTTCCTGTCTCTACTTCCTGATTTGCTATAAAAATGCTAAAAAGGCTGCACACCGCATTCTGTTGCCCTTATTGAAGGAACACATCAATACCAATTTCCTAAGAGTACATAACTTTACTGAAGATTAGTAACCTGATCACCATTTTTTTTTTTTTGGTCCCAGGGATCGAACTCAGGACCTTGAGCTTGCAAGGCAGGCAGTGGACATACATTGTTTTTTGTAGTAGTCCTTTACTGTCCAGCAACTTTAAGACTTCTTGAGATTTTTTATGATAAAATGATTCTCCTGAATATTCATCAAAGTATATTCCTAGACGCTAAAAGAGTTCAGAAACAAAAGAAACAAAATATTAGTTAAATCTCCAATAATCTCACCCTAAGACAAAATTATAGACGGTTTACCATCTGTCACACAGATGGGGAAAATAAAAACTAGATCAAGTTACTCCTCTGCTCAAACCATCTAATGACTCATAACACACTGGTCAAGTCCTCACAATGGTACTGGGCTGTTCAATATGGTAGTCACAAGGTACATGTGGCTTCTTAAACTAGAATTAAATAAAATTGAGAATTTAGTCCCTCAGTCATACTATTCACACTTCAAGGGCTCAACAGCTACATGTGGTCAGTGGCCGCTATGACAGACAAAGACACAGAATTTTCCTATCATAGCAGAAAGCTATACTGGTTAGCTCTAGAGAATGGCCTACATCATGCCCCACATTATAACCTTTTCAACTTCTTTCCTACCACTTTTGATCTTATTTACATACTTCAGTTGCATGGCTTCTTTACCAAAACTCTCCTCATGCCACTCATGTAACACACTTGATTGAAATTACAATTGCACCATCTAACATACTATGTATGTTTCTTGTTTGCTCTCTTTAACTTGTTTAATTTGCTCTTTCTCCAGGCTAGAATGTAAGGTCCATGAAAGCAAATTTTTTTCTTTTATTCACTGTTGTATACATATCTCCCTTAGCAAATGTTTACTAAATGAATGAATTTATACCCATCATATACAGGCCTAAGGAAATGAAAGAAAAAAGAAGAAGTGAAGGAATGATAGAAGAGAGGAAACAAAAGCCAGACTGACAAGAAGTATTAGAATGTCATCTGACACTGCTTAGTCTCAATTTTCAACTTAATCAGAAATCTGTTCTTAAATATCAGCTTAAGCAGCAGCTTTACTATGCAGCAGTACCAGGGAGAGCTACACATCACAGGAGAGCACAGAGATCTATGGATACCTTGTAAATTTGACTGTACTCTTTAATGCTCAAGTCTCGAAATCTTTGCCACAGTGAAAGTGCTTGCATGTCACCTAGTTCCAGTCGCTGGAAGAACTCACGTGCCAATTTTGCTATATTTTTATCATCTGCTGCTTCTTTATTAACTTGTACATAAACCTAAAAGTATAACAGGAAATGAAGCAAGTTATTGTTATCTCTACTGAAAAGAAAAAAAGCACAATTCTGAGAATTCTCAATCAAAAGACCCCATCACAGAGGCCCCATCTCAAAGAGGCCTCTTTTCCTTCTCTTTTTGCCATGTGTTCTTGGTGAAGCTCAGATTCCTACTCAAAATGTCTTTAAATGTATAGAATTCATAAAATTATAAAAGAAATAGTTACATTGAAATACACTTAACCAAACTTTTAAATAAACTGTAACATAGTAATGGAAGAAAATGCTTAATTTTTGATAGAGGTTAGAAAAATAAAGTACTGTACAATGTTTTCTTCATATCCAAGTTCACAGACCTCTGTCTTAGATTAAGCTGGCATTTCTTCTATGTTTTCAAAATGCCAAATTATTATTCCTGAAACTTGTCTGAGAAAGGCTGAAGAAATTAGGATGGCTCAACCTCAGAAAAGGCCAATGGAAGATTTAGCAGTTGTTTTAATGAAAGATGGTTAAACTGTTCTTTGAATCTGTAAAAGACCAGTGAAATAGGTGATTACAGTAAAAAATAAGAAAGACTTTTTGGACAGTTTGATAACATTCCAACTTGAACACCTATGAACTGTGAGGCACTCACTTCTACAGTACTGTATCACCATCTGTCTTGGCTGGTTTTAGTTCTGCACCCACCCAATAATTGGTGTAGGGATAAGAGCTTATTAAGGGCTTACCTGTAATGCAATTTTAAATCAATTTCAAGTCTAAAATATAGTGACATTAATGTACTAATATTACAATTCAATTCCCACAAGGATTAAAAGATTTTATAAGTTGTAACTCACTTTTGGGCTGAATGACAAATTATTGTATTACTTCCAGGAAGCTATTAAAGCAACAGGAATTAGAAACTAATCTACAAAAATAAATAAATGAATAAAGGCCTCTAAACTCTTACAGTAATATAAAAACATCATGGCAACAATGATTTTATGGCCAAAGTTTATACAGTAGCTTATATCCACTAGATACTACCAATGAAAGGGACAAGGCATTAAGCATCTAACTCAAGGTAGAAATGTTTCTCTTTTTTTTGTTGGTTTTTTTTTTGGTACTGGGGATTGAACTCGGGTCCTTGCGCTTGGGCAGCAGGCAGTGGAACCACTGAGCCAAATCCCCAGCCCAAAAATGTTTCTCTTTTCATAGACAATGTTATTTGAATAGCAGACTTAGATGAATAAATACTGCTAAATAAAATTATGTAATTTTTCTCTCTATCATATTGTGTGAGAAAGAGCCCACCCAGCGTGCCTGAGATACTATCTTTAAAATATACTGCCTTGCAAGATTGTCCACTGGTTAACAACTGGAAACCTGGATTTTGAGAATGTTTCCACCAACCTCATAAAAGTGACTCACTGCCCCTGAACTGTTTTGTGCTGAATGGCTACTTTCCTTCTTGGAGTTCAGAATTTGACACATGCTAGGGAGAGGGTTCCTATATGACCAGGATCCAATAAAAATCTTGGACATGGAATATCTAAAGAGCTTCTGTGGCAGATCACATTTCACATGTGTTGTCACAATTTGTTGTTGAAAGAATCAAGTACAGTCTGTGATTCTACTTGGGAAAGGACCCATGGATGCTTGAATGTGGTTTCCTCTGAACTTTATTCCATCTGCCTTTTCCCTTTGCTGATTGTGTTTTGTATTCTTTCCCTGCCCTAAATCACAGCCTAGAGTAGGATTATATGCTGAGGGCTATGAGTACCCCAAGTGAATCACTGAATCTGCAGGTGGTCTTGGAAAGACCTGACAAATATCTGAAAATTAATCTCCATGTTGTCTACTAGCTAAGCCAAGAATAATGCATAGAATGCTAATTCAAAGACAGGAGATCTCCGTAAGGTGTGGGAAAACAGAGATAATGAACTGAAGACTTCCTGACTTGTAAATGATGAACTCACTGACAACTACTTAACAATTCAGCCTACTGGAGTAGACATTTTCATAAATAGTTTGAGATTCTTGCTCTCTCACAGACACATACACAACGGTGTACACATATGTATAAGCAAACATTCAAAATGTCCTTATTTTCAGAAACGGAAAGGATTCTATTAAAAAAAAAATCTACCACTCTAAGCCCAAACAGTTGAACATTAAAAAATTACTACACATTCAAGCTAATATATTTTTAGAAAAACTTCACCACAATCTTTTTCTTTCTTAAAACTTAGAAAGAATTAAAAAAAACTCTTCCTAGTACTTGAAGAATTTTGGAATTTCAGCAATTTGTAGTTATAAAAACAAACATTAAAAATCAAATGACATTATCAAACAAAAAAGCCTTAATAAACATGTAACAATTTGCCTGTAAATGAACAAAATAAAACTATAATTATTTATTACCATTTTAGGAACTTTCTTTCATATATATTCAAAACTATGCACTTCTGAAATTATAAGCAGTTTTAATTTACAGTTACTGGGAACATTCTATCCTTGCAAAGTAAGCATTTTGGAGATAACTTCTATTTCAGGCTAGATTTAGATACCAAGAAACAAATAGGAAATTTTAAGCCTGGGTTTAATAATAATGTGGCTTAGCATATACTGTTTTTTGAGAATGGAAATACAATTTTCTTTTAGCTATTATAATGCAAAAACTGGTTGTAAACATCTTAGCGATTTCCTTAAGGAATATTAACACACTGTTTTCACTATTTCTATGTGTTGGGATTGCCAAAAAGCATATGACATTTTATTTCAAGTTCAACTAATTAAGATAATTACAGCCAGCTCTTGGAATGACCTGCCCAAATGTAAAGAACTAAGGATAAAAAGTAAGAATAGTAGATAACACCTTCCCTGGTCCTTTAAATTTGATACTAGAATACCATTAGCCACATGGGCATAGTTTAAGTTTTTAGTCTGGGGTTCTAACCCCACCCTCTGACTATTCTTATCTTAGCAGTACTGAGAGTAACTGCTAAGAATGATTAGCATAACTTGGATACCATAGATCCTTTTATCTATATATTTATGGGTTCTCTATGTCAAAATGCATTTAATTTTTATCTCATTACTTAGAAAAGAACATGTAATAGTGTTTAATGTTGTTTCATGTCTTCAACAGAAATTTCATAAAGAACTGCTGGTTGAAACAGGTTTAATGTTAAATGAAATACTAAAGAAATTCAAAGAAACTTTTATAGTTGAAATTTAACATAATATTTCAAATAGCTAAAAAAGTCAAAATCTGCTAGATAAAAATAATTTGAACTAAATTCATTAGTTATTAAATTTCTCTTTAATACTTCATTAGAATATGAAGACTATTTTTCCCCAAGTTTTTTTTTTTTTTTTTTTTACAGTGCTGGGAATTGAACCCACAGCCTTGTGCATACCAGGCAAGAGCTTTATGACTGAGCTATATTCCCAGCGTTATGAAGACTATTTTCACTCCCATTTATCTTTAACATTTGGAATCTCTTGTTTTTATTTGCTGTGCAAAATCATATCCATGATGCCTTCTATCTTTGTCCAAAGATGATAATTATTAACTTCTTATAGATAAATATACACTAGTGCCTACTAAACATGTTTCTCAGGTTGAAAGAAAAAGTTGTTTTAGCACATTTCAATGGAGTGAGAGATATTTACTGCTTAAACAGGTATTTACTATTAATTTGTACTCTGTCCTTGCTAGCATTTTCATCCTTATTTTATGTACAGGACTCACAGGACAGAAAATGCAGTATTGTTCCAGGAAGCGGGGTAGAACAGAAAGGCATGTAGCTTCAGGGAGAAAGCCAGGATAGAGGAAAGGAGAACTGCGTAGAGCAGGGAAGGGAGAAGGGCTTCAAGGAGCAGCAAAAGCTGGGGTAGTGGCAAGCCTTCAGAGGGAAATGATTCCATGTGCCTATGAAAGCAGGCTGGCCTCTAAGCCTATAAACCTGGGCCAGAGCAAAGACCTTTCAGGCATAACTGGCCACACAAGCAGAGCATCAAGTAGACTGGGATGCTAAGTATATGAAACACCAGTGTAGACTGAAAAGCATCTATGATTGTCATGGGGTGCATATAAGAATAGTCCTCAGAACTTCATGTGATTTGGGAGACAGGGAATCCCTAACAATAACTTCAATTGACTTACACTATCAAAAGTGATGGCTGAGGCCAGATTTAATTAGACTAATAATTTAAGAGCCATTTTAGGGCTGGGATTTTAGCTCAGTGGTGCCATGTCTGGCTGGCAAGTGCAAAGTCCTGAGTCCAATTCCCAGTACCAAAAAAAAAAAAAGCCACTTTGCAGGTTAAGTGTTAAGGAGCAAAATTCACACTTCCTCTAACAAGTGTTCACTAAAAAAAGAAATGTGACCTAATTAATAAAGAACTCTTGAACACAATTTTTTAATAAAAAATAATTTCTAACAGCATATATATTCCTATGTATGACTAGAATCAATTTAATTATTGAAAAACTGTTTTGAAACTTATATCTAGAAGAACATTATGTCTTGGGCAATAGATTCTTTCATGTTTTTAAAGTGAGAGGGTAGTATAGGACACAGAATTCAGAGGCACTCTACCCCTACATCTTCAGCTCCTTTTTAAGATTTAAGACAGGGTCTTCCTAAGTTGCCTATGCTAGCTTCGAACTTGTGATCCTCCTGCCTCAGGCTCCCAAAGCCCACTGCAAGGCCTAGTGACAGGGCTGGAAAAAAAAAAATCAGGAAAAACATTGGCCTTTCTTTCAAAGAGCTCATAATTAACTAAAATTTAATGCAAGAAATAGGGGGTTGACCAAAGCTTTCAGAAGATTTTCACAAATAAGAAAGGGTAAATGCAAATTGTTCTAAACATTTTACTTCCCATCAGCTAGTGCCAAAATTATTTACTCTAAACATCAAGATTAGAATTATCCCTGACTCTGGAAAGGTGCAATGAAGATGGAGATCCTTTGTATTACTGTTACTGGAGTTTGGCGTTCCAACGGACCAGGCTTGGTTATACATTTGATAATGCCAATAGAGACCAGCAGTGGTGAAGGGCAGGAAAGCAACTTTAATTAGCATGGCTGTACTGGGAAGGACAAATAAGGAGGTTCAAGATCTACTTTTAAGGGGTCGACAGAAACTTTGGGGTTTTATAGAAAGGGGACGAAAGGTAAGTGTAAGGGTTTGTACAGCTAGCAACCTAAGTAATCCTGGTCAAACCTTTGTCTGGTTGATAAGTATCTCAGGCAGGACTGGTCCTGTGAGGTTCTGGGAGAACTGTAATTGCTTAGGGGGCAATTTGTTTTCCATCTTAAGGTAACTTCCTGCTCAGGGTGGGGAGTCTTGGTTTCTGTCACAGAGTAACTCACCATGGAGTGGTCTCTGAGGCTCTGCTTTTCCTGGAATTTGAAGTGATTACAGGTTTAGGACACTCACTGGAGACTTCCAGGCATCATTCCAGGGGCTCTGGAACTAGATGTTAAAAAAACTAGCAACTGGCTCTCCCTGTAAATCCTGAAAATTACTTGAGTAACTATTACCTTGGTGTGCCTTTAGTCACAAAGGAGGATGGCTAGGCTCAGTAAATTTAGGGCTACTAAACCTTGTATTAAAGACACTCCTTAAGCAATTAACATGTCTGCATGCAGAGCTGAGGAAGGATCTGACCCAAAGTTGTAAGTAGTAAAGGAGATAGGCATAAAATGAAAGCAGAGATGATAAGCTTTAGCCTGCTTTTAGTTACTCATTGGACATCTGGTGGTCTATCCTAAAGGTCACTGTCATATTACCATGTATGCCATCTCTGGCACAGCAGAGCATACAAAGGCATCTGTCAACTAGTAAATAAACTTTAGTTATTTGTATGCCCTTCAAATTTTCCTTCAGGAACAAAATAACTATCATTTTCTTAAAGTGTTAAAAAAACTCAAGTTCCTCATTTACACTAAAAATTGTTGATGAAAGTAATTCAGTGATAACTATGACTTAAAATGAAAACTGAGGATCTACAAAAGCCAGCAGAAAGATATAATAAGGTATTGATGTAAACTGGTGCCAATGGAGGTCCTAATGTAAACTTTGCATATTCTCTGTCTCTCAAAGGAAAGAGAGCCGGTGATTGTTCTAATGGGATTCTGTTCCCAACAGCAAGGTGGGTGTATCTCACTTGCCTTCTTTTGCCTGGAAATGCTGCTCCTCATTAGGCCATTAGCAACACCATTATTCCCTGACTTTCTAGTCATTCATAGAATGACTTCCTGCCCTTGTTCCTTCCTTATGTGTACTCATCAGTTAATAACCTCTACCACAGATATAAGCCATCTACTATTTTTATGAATCTCAAAAGGTGGGAACTGGACTAACTCTGATATGTTAAACTGCACTCTAAACTGACAACACAAGCCAGGAGGCATGGTGGCACATGCCTGTAATTTCAGTACTTGGGAGGCTGAAGTAGGAGGATCACTGCAACTTCAAGGCCTGCATGGACTATAGTGAGTCCAAGGCCAGCCTGAACTACAAAGCAAGACCCTGTTTCAAAAAACCAAACCCCCTATATTTGTATTTTCTGTGCCATGTAGTATCTATGTGGACATGGATTTGATGAAAGGATTGCTAAGCTTATGGTAAAAAACTACCATTATTCAAAGTGTAAAAATATAATACAGGGCCAGGATTTAGCTCAGTGATTCCGCTGCCTGCCTTGCAAACACAAGGTCTCGTGTTTGATGCTGCGTACCAAAAAAAAAAAATACAGAGAAATTTCAGGTACTAAGTGGACATGCTTTATTTGCAAATACCCACAAAGAGTTAATAAGTTTTAAACTCTTGGCTATCAAACTGTTAATGGGAAAGAGAGTCTTTGATTAACATAAATCAAACTGTAGGCATTAAAATGAAGTGTGCACATGAGCTCAGGAGGAAATGACAAACCTTTAAAGGTCTTTAAAGAGCTCTCTATGGCTTTGGCTAGAGAAGTAAAGCATTATTTTGACATGTGTTCTTGCTTAGACAGAAGCAGAACATTTCAGTCTGACTCCTAGTATGTGACCAACATGGCTGACACTGTATCTGTTTCCTTTGTGAGGCCCAGAAATAGCAGAGATGACAACTGGAACAATGAAAAGGAAACTCATCTCTGAGGATTGCTTGCACAGGAAGAGCTTCATTAATGAAGTCTAGAAAGGACTGAAGATAGAGAAATAAAGTATCCAATGGACTAAATGAAGAACAGAAAGTTCATACTGGGCAAAAGCCAGGAAACTAAGTGGAATGTTATATATGGACATAAATGAAAAAAGGACACATAAATTCAGACAAAGGTGCCTTTCTCCATGTCAAAAAATTAAAAAAAAAAAAAAAAGTAAAGAAGTATCCACATGGGGCCGGGGGATTTAGCTCAGTGGTTCTGCCACCTGCCTTGCAAGTGCAAGGTCCCGAGTTTGATCCCCGGTATCAAAAAAGAAAAAAGTATCCACATTTAGCAAATGTAAATTAATTATAGTTGTCAGCATAAGCAAAACCAGCAATAGGGCCAGGGATTTAGCTCAGTGGTTTTGCCGCCTGCTGTGCAAGCGCAAGGACCCGATTTCAATCCCCAGTACCAAAAAAACCAAAAAACCCAAAAAAACAGCAGTACACCAGCTGATAAAAAATACTGAATATTTTCTCAGTGTCTAATGTGTTATCTTGTGTGTTTATTTTCAGATTTGATACCTGAGGGAAAAATATCTCTAGTTGACTAAAAAATAGTAATAAAAGACACATTTGGATATGGAAATGAAAAGAACCTCCTAGTAATAGAAAAAGCAACATTTCAAGTAAGTTTTGGTTCCATGTTTTAAGAAACATAGTTTTTAAACTTCTGGCATTAAACATGAGTCAACAAGCTGCACAGTACTCTGAAAAAAATGCTGAAGCATTTTCTAATATTGTTCCTTGACAACTTACTTCAAAGAGATGCTGTAAAGGATTGGACTGAAGTTTTTCTTCATAGCCAAACAGTTGGAAGCCAGTCCCCAGAAGACCTACCATGATAACCAGGAAATAAAGTATTATAAAACAGAACAGTAGAATAGAGGTCTATAAAGAGATCATCCTCTTACAATAATGTATCCTGAGAACAACTGCAAAACACATTTTTTTAAACCTTCTGTTATCCTGCAAACTGACACAAGTCAATTTTAATATACTGAATCACATATTCAATACTACATACTGAATAGATCACTGAAATTAAGGTTCACAGAAATCAACACCATGAGTTCATCAAAAGCAGGATCTGGGACTACTCTAACTTTGTTCTGACAGTGTCCAACACCTCCCTAGAAGACAATGAGGAAACAAAACATTTATTGAACAGCTTTCCATGAGGCACTAGACACTCAAAATTTGTGAAAAGAAAATTTTTGTTGGGTAGTACTAGGGACTATATCCAGAGCCTTTGCACTGAGGCATTCCCCACCCCCACCCCGCCCCACACCAAAATAAAGTATAGTTATCTGTTTAGAGCCACAGATTCCACACTCAGATTAAACCCAACTTGGACCAAAACTATTCCCGAAAGAAAATTTTATTCTGAACTACACATATACAAACATTTTTTATCATTATTCTCTAAAACAATACAATAGCTGGAACCTGGAATTGGTAGACAACATGTGTCTCATGGCCTTTCAAATGAACAGTCACTCTTAAGCAAAACCCCAGCCAGTGACTTGTATCAGCTGGACACCTGGAAGGCAGGTAGAGGGCAATGTCTTCCACCTCCGTCCTTCAGGAATAGGGACTCCCTAGCAAGGACACACTGAGACTAATGTTATGTTAATGAAGTACTCCAAAACAGGTATAATGGTCCACCAGCCTGGTTTTGGAAGTAGCAGTGAAGTAGACAATTACATTAAGAGAAACTATGTTTTTCTTCTGAAGCTTTGGAAAAATAAATCCCTTAACAAAAGCCCAGTAATACTTCTTTCAGAAATTATTTTTTTCAATGCTTAGTGATATTAAAAACACAAGCAAATTGCACGTCATTGTTTTGTTTTATGTATGTGTAACCAAAAATTTTTGTAAAGATTCAATTTTTTAAAAATCAAAGATTCTGAAAGAATTGGAAAAAAAATTTTTTGAGACAAGGTTTTGCTAAGTCACTAAGTCGGCCAGGCTAGGCTCAAGCTTGTGATCTTCCTGCCTTAGCCTCCCAGAGTGCTAGGATTACAGGCACATGATACTATACCCCATTGATTTGAATCTTTAAAAAAAATACTAAATGTGATTTTTAAACTAGGAAAGGAAATTCCTAGTATGGACTGAATATTTATATTCTCAAGAAATGTGGCTAAAAGATGATCATAATTTCAGTTTGAAAGGGTATATGCAGCAGCCTAGGCCAAGGGCAGTAATAAGTTGATTATTTTGAAATTCTATTTCTATATTATATCAATTATCAAGCTTCAGATCTAAAGGGGCTTGTTGAAATATATTTTTCTATATAAGGCTCAGTAGAAACTGCAATGCTGTTGAACACAGGGATATACAATGCTTTGAAATTTAAAAGATGACTAAAGTTTTATTCACTTTCAAGCAAGAACAAATGTGATTATGATTCAGGGTCCTGGGAATAGGGTGTGAAATGATGCTCAGCGTGTTTTAAAACACAGAAATGGAAAATTTTAAGGGAATTCCATTTAACATTCAATCTAATACATGTTCAGAAACTAATTCTATGCTTTGGAACCATTTGCCAGTTTCAAAAGGGGATAGCTGAAACAGCAAAATTATAATTCTTCAATAATGATGGCTGTAATGGAAATGTTTGATCGTTAACCATAGTAGTCCTTTAGAGAAAAGTCACTATAATGAAATCCTGCAGCTAAAATTTTTTTTTTCTTTTTTTCTTAAATTCTTTTATTGGTACATTTTAGGTATATAATACGTTTACATTTGTCATTGGGTGCTTGTACCTGTACATGATGTATCTT